TGTCCCCCGCCGGGCCCCGCCGCCGCCATTCTCCGTGGGCGGCACCAGTCCGACGGAGGCAGCTGTCCGGCCGGGAGCCAGGGAGCAGGGGCAGTGCCCTCCTCCCTTCTCTGCTCGCTCCTGGGCGGAGCACCTTTTCCGGTTCCCTTGTCCTGACTTAAATAGGGCAATTCGCAGAGGCGCCCTATTGGCTCAATCCCGAGGGGGATGGCAGTCTGATCTGGTGGCCAGAACTAAGCCTAACCCGGTTCCAAAACCGGGGAGGTCGCAGGGAGCAAAACCCCTCTCCTGCCACCAGAACCACCCCCCCCCACATCAAACCATGACACCTTGATAAAATGGTCTTCTTGCCACATGATAAATGGATTTGCAGTTGCATTGCAGAGAGAATTGAAATGTGATTCCCTTCTGTCAGAAAGTATAACAACTGGATTCCATTACCACGCATCTCTAGTCCATAGGACCAAGCACTGTTCCCACAATACCAAAGAAACATTGTCATGATGGGGAATCATGCCACAAGCATCCCTAAGCTGGGCGAAAGATCATATGGTCTTTTTTAAGAACGTAACTGGAGTCTAAAGGAGAATTGTCATATCTTAGGCCAGGACATGTTTTAAGACACTCAAGAGTGTTTTCCTTTCATTTTATACTCTGAAATTAGTAGCATTCAGAGACACCTGTTTGGAGTTAATAAATGCTGTTTTCATTACAGATTTGATCCTTTTAGCTCAATTATAGTTCATTCTGGTTTTATTTTTTCTTATGACTGGGAGTAACTTAAGTACTAAGGAGCTCAAATCTTGCTGTAGCAGATAAAATAGACTTGAGTGCAATGTATGTTCATCCCATTGGAAGAAAAATACACAGTGTTACTGTGTTAGTAACAGCTGTACCAAATTCTGATGATTGTTCTATAGATAACGACCCTGCTTCAGTGAGAGAGTGCTGCGTCCTTTTCATTTATAGGAAATGCCCTCTTCTCCATTTCAAATGAGCACTCAGGATAGACTCCTAGACTTCTTCAAGGAAGTCTCTTACAGACCTACAGCTTACACGTACTAACGATCTTGAAACACTGTGATGGTTGACCCTGGCTGGACACCAGGTACCCACCAAAGTCGCTCTATCACTCCCCTCCTCAACTGGACAGCAGAGAGAATATATTAATGAAAATCTCATGGCCCAAGATAAGGACAGGGAGAAATGCCTCACCAATTACCATCATCGGCAACACAGACTCAACTTGGGGAAATTAATTTAATTTATTTCCAATCAAATCCGAGTAGGATAATGATAAAAAAAAAAAATTAAAACCACTTTCCCTTCACACCACCCCCCACCTTCTTCCTGAGCTTAACTTTACTCCTGATTTTCTCTACCTTCTCTACCTCAGAGGCGCAGTGGATGGGGAATGAGGGTTGCGGTCACTTCATCACACTTCGTTTCTGCCTCTCCTTGCTCTTCGGGGGGAGGAGTCCTCATACTCTTCCCCTGCTCCAGCGTGAGGTCCCTCCCACAGGAAACAGTTCTCCACAACCTTCTGCAACGTGACTCCTTCCCATGGGCTACAGTTCTTCATGAACTGCTCCAGTGTGGGTGCCTTCCATGGGGCACAGTCCTTCAGACACAGACTCCTCCAGCATGGGCCCCCCACAGGTTCACAAGTCCTGCCAGCAAACCTGCTCCAGCACAGGCTCCTATCTCCACGTGTTCTGCCAGGAGCCTTACTCCAGCGTGGACTTCCCACAGGGTCACAGCCTCCTTTGGGACATATCCACGTGCTCCAGCATGAGATCCTGCACGGGCTGCAGGTGGATCTGTGCTCCACCGTTCATCTCCATATGCTGCAGGGGAACAGTCTGCTGTCCCACTATGATCTTCACTACAGGCTGTAGGAGAATCTCTGCTCCAGCACCTTGAGCACCTCCTCCCCCCTCCTTCCCTGACCTCAGTGTCTGCATAGTTGTTTCTCTCACATATTCTCACCCCTCTCTCTGGCTGCAATTGCCCAGGTGTTTTTTCCCCCTTCTTAACTATGTTATCACAGAGGCAGTCCTACTGTTGCTGAATGGCTTGGCCTTGGCCAGCAGCAGGTCTGTCTTGAAGCCTGCTGGCATTGGCTCTATCAGACACAGGGGAATCTTCTAGCAGCTTCTCACAGAAGCCACTCCTGTAGCCCCCCCGCTACCAAAACCTTGCCACGCAAACCCAACACACACACATTTCACTGTATCTGCTGTTATGGAACAGCATTTATTCTGTCGATGAAAATCCAGCCTAAGATACCAGCAACTGGATGGTAGAGAAAAGGTTGCTACTGGTGCAGCTGGGCTGATGATTAATACAAAACAGAATACAAGACACTCAAGTTTTTTATGACACTGGTACTATACGTTCAAGGAAACATAAGGCCAGATAATGAATACTGCTTTTCCACACAATTTAAGTTGCACAGTCCTTTCGGATCCACACCACAGCACCTGCATTTTATTCACTGTTTTGCATCATTTTGCAACTCCAGCTTCATAAGCTGGTCCTCAAACTTTTGAATGTCTACTTGATGCTTCATTAGGAACTTCCCATTTAAATGAAAAACAGGTATGTCATATTTGTATTTATCATACCACGCTGAGTTCTCTGGAAGGGTAATATCCACCTCCTGCAAAATAAACTGTGACAGAAAAGAAATATGTTAGTACCTTACCTACAGGACACTGAAAAACAATACCTGCTTGTCTTTTGATCAATATTTTTTTCAGAAATGCAAGGCTGTTTTCTGGGTGCTTTTGGGTTTATTCTTCCATGTTGTAGACAATTGGCCATTTTGTGGATACAAAATGTTTGCAGCCACAATCCTTGGCTGTGTGTCCGCAAAAAAAAAGTCCAGGATTATATTCTTGATCCTCTGTGCAGAACCACTCTCCTGTGAGCACCAACCACAATATGCAGCTGGCCACACAACAGCTGCCTGCTAGGCAGCATTGTGCAACACCTCTTAATGCTTCTGTTAACAGTTTCTTCCTTCAAGAAGGAGATCAAAATCCGGTTGAAGAATGGCAAAAATTGCAATCACATGTAGTTCAAATATTTGAAGCCCTGCTTACTAACATCCTTCCAAAATTATATAATTTCCTGCCTCATAAAAGTTGCAAACTCCTCTATCAGACAAAGCAACAGAATTTACAAAAGCAGTGGGTTTAAAAAGTATTGCAACAAGGTGTATGTTGGTTGCATTTACCAATACTTATTTGAGTAGCACTGCCACAAAATGCTTTTTGATAATGAGTTTTATGGAAATCAGTGCTGAAATTGTCTTGAAGAGGTCACCCATAAAAGAATAATGGATGCAAATAAATCCAAGCGATTTTGTTTTACAAAGAAAGAACCCTGATTAACTCTTCTTTCTATATAGAAACAGTGTACAGTATTGCAATACATTACCCTTCTCTTATATGGCTCAAGTACTTCTTTTGCTTCATCACATAGGGGGCATGGTTTCTAAAGGAAAATATTCAGATCAACTTGAAGCATACAGTAAAACACACAGATCATTTGTACTGTAAAGTATCACACACAGACAGGAGTAATCATTACCGTAAATGTGGGTTCCCTCCCCCTACCACCCTGTCTTACAGCTTTCTAAATCTTTTCTTTATCAGTGCAGCATGGATGAAAAGAAAATAAACCATTCAGCCACAGGATTTAATTATTTCTCATTTGCTATTATTTTTCTCATGGTGCAAATCAACACTTTTCAACGGCTCTTCTAAAGGCTGATTCAAAGGCATGGTTTGGAAGGTAATGCACAGACCCCTTCGTTTGGGCAGCAGCAATGAATATTCAAAGCACTGACATCACCAGCTGAAAACAACTGCAGGTACCACCCTTGACAGAAGAATTTCCCTTGATAGAAGGGGAATGAGGAACTCACATGAGTAATTTCTAATCTGTTTCAGATGGACTCACTTGGGTCAGTTCAAATAGCAAAAGAAGGTGACTTAAGATAACCTGGCTGACTTTGCCTGAAAGGAATTAAGCATGATCCTCTGACCTGCAGGGCTGGGAGGACAGTAACCTCCAGCAGGGAGAACTGGCAAGCAGCTGCAGCGTTTTGACCTGTGATGGTGTGAAAGAAAACCGCTCATTTTTGAAAACTCTCTGGTCTTCCACTACAGTTATACAGCTGACTTCTGCTGATCAGCATCGTTAGAGCAGTGCGTACCTGAAGAAGTGACTCACATGAAGGCACGTTGCTGCTTCAGTGTTTGTAATGGCAGAATTTGGCCTCTATTTCACATAGTAAAGTATACAGTGGTGAAGGTGATGGCTCTGACCCTGTGCCATGAAATACCTCTCACAGCTGGAAAACACTTCCTGTCCCTCCCACTTAAAGTCTCCCTAGGGCTTGTTTAAACATGAAGTTAATCCGAAACAGCTACTTGTTTCCTGCGTGTGAATTAATTTGGATTAAATACTCTACTTTTAATCCACATCTAAACTGCCTTTCCCACACAGACATGTCTTTACAACCTGAAAAAACTACGCAAGATGCTGAAGATCAACAGTGCTCTGTTCTTGCTAGTTCTTGTCACTTTTGGAGGGAGGGATATACCTGAAAATGGTGACTGAAAGGAATGTCCCAGAATCCTGCACATCAGGTTTGCAACACGCCAGGTTCCGTACAGTTAAAGTAGGACATACTCAGTTACCTAGGCCTGTGGAAAACTTCCTAACGTCACAGTCACTTAAAAGCATTTGACAAACTAAGCTGACTCTTAGCAATCAATACGTTTTTACTCCTGCTCTGATGGTAAGCTTAAACTACATGGTACCAATAAGATTGGAACTGGTTTAAAATCAGGTAGTGAACTATTTCAACTAACGGTGAACGCTGTTTAAACAGTCTATTTATATTAGTAGAAAATTTTCAGTAGAACAGTGCAACAGTAGGTCTCTGCCATCACTTGCCTTATGTTAACTTGTAATAGGGCTGCCTGGATAAAGCGGTTTTGGGCAACCTTCTCTCTCTGATGTATATTACAGTGGCAAAAGGACTCCTACTGCCAAGGTATTAAAAATCCCTTTCCAAAGTGACGTATGCTGTGCTGATAGCTAGATCTGTTGGACAATACATGTGGTGGGAGGGACAGTTGTATTTCTACAGATAGTTGACATTTATGCCACATACTTAAACTACATTTTTGTGGTCATTTTAAGCTGGCATTGATGCTGAAGGAAGCAGACCCATTTTTCCATCACTGCTTCTTTTATGCTGGCATAAGCGTTCAAACAACTGCACAGTAGAGCTAGACAGGAGAATTGATCTGAGTTAATAGAAATCTTGCAAAAAAAAAAAAATTAACCTGGAGCAGCTGTTGCACAAATGCTTTTGTTGGCATAAAAGTAGCCTGTGAGGAGAAAACCATTTGGCAGTGCTAGCTTCTGTCAGTTTGAAGTGGCTGGAAAAGTCATAGCTCCCTCCTGCCTTCTTCTCCTCTTTTCTTCTTAATTCTTAAAAATAGGAAGAAGGGAAACAGGAGTTGATGAGCATATTAGGTTTAGCTTAGATTAGAGTGCAGATTAGGTTTATTTTAAAGTAGTCTTCATTTTGCTTTGCGATTGCCAGTGGTATCAGACATGAACAACATTTTAAGTTAAAATCACATTCAACAAGAGGCCACTTTAGGGAACTACTTGAACTCTGCTATTAGAAAATTTTATTTCATACAGTCTCCTACTAGTTAGAAATTTTAAGACATAGAAATCATACAAAGAGCTTTTTTCCAATTTTTAACCCAAAGGTTATTCCCTACCTCATCATATTTGGATTATGAATGAGCTGATGCTGAATCAGGCAGGAGGAGAGAGAGTTGTAACTTTCAAGTATAGTTCTTCTTATAGCATGCATTGCTCTGATTAATAAACAGATGGTGACCTTTTATTTTTTAACCTATTCATATGTTACACAGTTTAAACACTCCTTTACAGCTAGGGATGGAATGAACAAACATTGTGCAGGAGGAGGAAATTATTTTAATCGCATCCATTTCCAACAAATACCGCCATACCGATGTCAACAGTCTCAAGTGCTTTGCATTTCTAGTTATTCTCCTCTTGAAGGCTACATCAACCGTGTAAACACAGCATAGCCCGCCGTGTGTCATCCTAACTAAAACTGCAGAAGACTTCTGCAGATAATACAGACTCCTGATGACAATTCATCAAAGGTAACAGTTCACAAATGACCAT